ATACATGTACATTTATAAATGTAGTATCTCTCAAATAATAAAGGCAAGATTGCCAAAAAAAAAAAAAAAAAAAAAAAAAAGTAAACTCTTCAGTATATTTACTGCAATTTTAACAAATTTAAAAATTCATTCTATAAGTTATTTCGTTGCTTGCGTCTCCAGATAAATTTATTCAGGTATTTGTTGATGATAGGTAAGCATCTCTTTTCTATTGGAATAAAGGCCTTTAATGTTTTCCATGTTCGTTCAATATGGTTTATATGCATACATATAATCTGTAATCTTTGGCTAATTTTTGAGTAAAAGAATCTTAAATGTTGCTATTCACATTGGTTCAATTCTTGGTAGCTATGCTACAAATCTGTATAAATTGTAGATTCCTTTCTCACATGTTGACTAATAATCCTAATTAGGGTTTCTTTTTCTCTATTATCAACAACTTGAAAAAAGCATTTTTTCAATCTATGTTCGATCATTCCTAATATCTAAAGATCTTTGAACTTTGATTCATCTATTTTGATGATAATATGATTACCACCAAGAATAAAATATTCACCTGATAACGAATTAATTACCAATCTTCTAAAGGTATACATGTACTTTACTAAAGTATTCTTTACAAAACCAGTCATCTCTTTGATTTGTATATACTTAAGTTTATTAACCCAAAAATAACTAATCAGCAGTATGTTGTTTGATTTCAATTTTGATTTGGAGAAAAATATATTATTATATATAAAAATCCATTTATTGCAATTTTGATTTTTTGCATATAAAGTATTTTTTGTAAAAGTGAATTTTTAAGTTGCATTGGCATATATCTTTTTGCACAATAATATTTTTATCAAACAAATATTCAATGCAGCTTTGCTTGTTAAACAAACCATGTACAAGTCTTTGATTGATATCATTTGTTTATTAAATAAAATATAGTATGTATATTTATATAAATTTGGTTAATATCTTTACAAACGAGTATTGGAGTTAACCAATTAGCATTTTTGATTTATTTTTAGAATAAGCCAAACTAAGCAATTAGATATTGCCAAATTTGTAAAACACTTTTAGTGATAGAATAGGTCTAACTAGGAAACTTGATATAATTTTATTCGAAATTACAAAATATATATTGGTAATTTACATGTATTTATTTTATATATAAATTTACTTTGCATCTTTTTTTTTAAAAGTATTAAAAAAATGAAACGTCAAATTGTTTTAACAGAATCTTTATCTAATAAAAAATGTAAACCTGAAAACAAACGAATTATTCTTTCGCCGAATAACCCTATTGATATTTTTATTAAAGTATTTAATTATATTGATGATCCATATACTTTTGCCTATGTATCTCTTGTTTGCAAGAAATGGAATAAACTTCTCAACAAGAATAGTTTTTGGCAAGAGCTAGTTAAGCATCTTGGATTCGATAGTCCTTTATTGAAATCCCACAAGTACAAGACCTACAAATTGATTTTTATTAAAAATATAAACAAGCTTTGCTACTGTAAAAAAAATTTTGGTTTTAAAAACGATACATTAAAATCATTTGAAAACAAATTAGAGATTTTATGCGAATTTATGAATAATCGTTTAGAATACTATGGAGATCCAAACAAGAATTGACCATGATATTATTATAATTTTTGCAAATTAATTCGCAATCGAATTTGTGATATATCTAACCAATATGAATATATTAAGTAATGTTATAAATGTGATAATCAGCAAAGTATCAAAAAACAAATTGAGATTCTTATTGACGATATTCGTAAAGAAATCAAAAAATTTGATAGATTTAATGAATTTTTTAATGTAGATGTATATGATGTAGTTATTCGAAATTTGTTTAATATTATAAAATACAAACAATATCTTTTTATCGAAAGATTTAGTGATGTAATTAGAAATCACAATCATTCTGTATTATGTTATATAAACTATAAAAAGCTTGAAAGTAATGCCGAGACTAGTAGTAGTGATGATAGTGATGATTATATAGATGAATTTTATTATTAAATTTATATTTATTTAAATAAATTATATATTTTCTAAATACAATCTTGGTTGAAATAAATAATATTCGCTTGTAATATTTTGTTGTTTGTTAATATTAATTCTAAATTTTGTGGCTTTTACAAATGCTTTTAATTGACTATATTTTGTAGTATAAAATTTTTTATATCTGCACTTATTATTTTTCTACTATGATATTTCGTAATATTTTTTCTTATACATAATTCTGTTAACTCTAGTATTATTTCCTTTGTGTAGTATGCAATTTTTAGCATTTTCTCTTTTGCTACTTTTGTGTAAATTATATTCATGACAATCCAAATCATCTTGATTAATGTGATCTATAATACTCCATTTGGGATGAAGCATTCGATGAAAAAGTACTTCTTTTTCTCCACTATATATGCAAATATAATTTGTATTTCATAATCATCTATAAATTCATAAATATTTTTTAATTAAATTTAAATACTTAATGTCAAAGAGAAAAGTTAAATTATTATCTAATTTAATTTGCAAAAAAGGGCTATTTTCAATTTTAACAATATGAATTTCATTGTTGCTTGACTTAATAAAATAATCTTTAATTATTTCTATATTGATTCTTCTTATAGTTTCATTTTTAAAGTTTAAATATTTTTGCTTAACAGTATCTTGCATTTCTCTATTTTGTTTACTTTCTTCTTTTTTTTGAGTGATTTCATGTTTAAAATGAAAATACGGAGTCATTTGTGATTTAAATTGTTTATACAAATTACTATGATATTGTTTATAATATCGTACAATATTATAATATTTTGTTAGTTGGCAAAATCTATAGCTACAGTTTTCTTGTAAGCAGCTAATAGAGCCATTATCTTCAATTTTAAAAAAAGTATTAGTTGTACTCATTTTGTTATAATTCAAAATAAAATTTAGCCACATATATATATATATATTTATATGTTTAGTTTACTGTGGTTTACTTAGAAGTATAAGTTTATTTTATTTTCTAGCCCCCAGCCAGGTTTTATAAGCGTAGCAATGCAGATCCAATATTACAGAAATTTTTTTTTATTTAAATTCTATGGATTCATAGAATTTAAATAAAAAAAAATTTATCAAATTTAGTCAGGTAACTGTCAATATATATTTGCTCAAAGTTTTAAACCAAATCAAAGCATCTATTAAAATAGCTATGCAAAATTTTTTCAAAACTTTGTGTGAATATATTTCGACAACTACTTGACCAAATTCAATGAAAAGTTTTTATTTAAATTCTATGAATCCATAAAATTCAAATAAAAAAAATTTTATCAAATTTGGTCAGGTGGTTGTTGAGATATATTCTCTCAAAGTTTTTAAAAAAAATCAAAATACCTATCTAAATAAAAAATGCGCCAAATTTTTTTTAAATTTTTGAGCAAGGATATCTCAACAACCATCTGACCAAATTTAATGAACTTTTTTTTTATTTAAATTCTATGGATACGTAGAATTCAAATAAAAAATTTTCATCAAATTTGGTCGGGTGACTGCCGATATATATTTGCACAAATTTTAAACCAAATCAAACCATTAAAATAGCTATACAAAATTTTTTTTAAAACTTTGTATGAAGATATCTTGACAACCACCTGACTAAATTCAGTAAAAATTTTTATTTGAATTCTATGAATCCATAGAATTCAAATAAAAAAAATTATTAAATTTAGTCAGATAATTGTTAAGATATCTTCTCTCAAAGTTTTTAAAAAAAATCAAAACATCTATTAAAATAGAAGCTAATCTTTAACTTTTATATCAATTTTTTATTTATTTTTAAAAAAAACGGTGTGTACTATATTCCAGGCAAATTTGCCTGAAAATTTTAGTAGTACAATGTTTCTGATTTTGGAAAATTATACATTAGGGGGCATTTGCTTAGTACAATTTGGTATTATAAAAAAATTAATCATATGATATAAAAATTCTAGGCAAATTTGCCTGGAATACAGTTTAAGGGATAATACTTTTATATTCCTATTTATATTAAATATCAATTAAACAGAGTTATACCAGAATTATCTGGATTAGGTTCTTTTATAGATACCAAAGTTTATTAAGTAAATTGGTTGTATAAATAGTTATAAGTTATAGATTATAAAACACAGCATAATATTAAATTTTTTTAATATAAAGATATATCAATATCACCTCATTCTGATATGAAAATTGAATCTGTTCACCAAATATGTCTTATAAAAAATACATAGTATATATGCGATATCTTAGTATGGCCAAGTGTCACCAAAATTTTTTAGTGCCAGAAAAATTTTCAGAGTCGAGATTTCTATCAAATTCTGCATTTTTAAACTTTTAGAAAGCTTTCTAGATGTCTGTCACTGAAAACTCTAAAAAAGATCGAATTTCTCCAGCTTTTTTTCTTTTTTTTTATATATGGGTATATTACATATATATATAAATATATCAAAGGTAGTGTTACAGTAGGGAGGCCTTCTTGAACTCACTACTATAACAACGACATGGCTACAGGGATCCTTTACAGGTTTATAGCGGTGTCCAAGAGGGAAGTGTAATTCCTTATTCTATTAGGAAACTACACCCTTCTCTAAGGCAGTTCGTGACGGAGGCAAGAGTTTATAGATAAAATATAACTTTATTTATTAAGA